ATTCACAGCTTTCTGCTCCTGAACTGAGTGCATGTTTTTGACATACTTTAGTCTCTCTCTCTCTCTCTCTCTCTGTGTGTGTGTGTGTGTAATTATGGGTCAATCAAACTTTTGAGCAGGTTCTAGCGTGATATCTCTGAACGATTGGACCACTGTATAATGTAGTGATATAGGCCAGTGTTTTTCCAATAGTGGGACATGTTCCCCTAGTGTGTGCGCGTGGGTGCATGCGTATAAACATAGAATAGGTCAAGGTGAGGCATGGTTTTCTATTTAAAAAAATTCATTTAAAAATGCAGACTCCCTCCATCCCCATCCATGTCCTTCTGCAGGTACAATGTACCACCTCCCACTAACCCATCTGCCACAGACTAGCCATCTGTGACCTTCTGAGATGCTAGCAGTAACTTTGAACTCTCCTATAGAGGTTCCTAAGCCCTTGTTCCCTTTGCCCATCACTTTACCATAAATAGCAAATATAACACCATATTTATACGTACAGTATATCACAGAAGTGAGTACACCCCCTCACATTTCATAAATATTTTAGTATATCTTTTGATGTGACAACACTGAAGAAATGACACTTGGCTACAACGTAAAGCAGTGAGTATACAGCTTGTATAACAGTGCAAATGTGCTGTCCCCTCAAAATAACACAACACACGGCCATTAATGTTTAACCCTCTGGCAACAAAAGTGAGTACACCCTTAAGTGACGATGTCCAAATTGGGCAAAAAGAGTCAATATTTCGTGTGGCCATCATTATTTTCCAGCACTGCCTTAACCCTCTTTGTCATAGAGTTCCCCAGAGCTTCACAGGTTGCCACTGGAGTCCTCTTCCACTTCTCCATGATGACATCACAGAGCTGGTGGACATTAGACACCTTGTGTACCTCTACCTTCCATTTCAGGATGCCCCACAGATGCTCAAAAGGGTCTGGAGACATGCTTGGCCAGTCCATCACCTTTACCCTCAACTTCTTTAGCAAGGTAGTGGTTGTTTTGGAGCTGTGTTTGGGGTTGTTATGTTGGAATACTGCCCTACGGCCCAATGTCTGAAGGGAGGGGATCATGCTCTGCTTCAGTATGTCACAGTACATGTTGGCATTCATGGTTCCCTCAATGAACTGTAGCTCCCCAGTGC